GATTTCTTCTTTTCAGAGAGAGAGAGAGAGAGAGAGAGAGAGAGAGAGCGTTTAGGCTGGAATTAAGAAGTGGTCCTTAAATGTAAAACTTGCATATTTTGTTGATATGCTGGGAGATTCAGGGTGATATTTTCAGTCTTTGCGAATTCATTAAAGCCTTTGTTGATGGGGCACTTTAAATATTTTCTTCTTTTATGTTTTATGTATTTATTTAAAAAACGATTGTATTTATTTATTAAACTAAATATCACATAATTAATGCTACCTCCTTACATAATGATAATCATCTAAAATGGATTAAAATGATAGGACTTTTACTGATCTATCCGAACTTCCTCCTGTTTCTAGTATTTTGTGCACATCTGCGCGCATTAGGGTCTAGAAAAAAATCCGATTAACTTTTGAACCAGTGGAAATAAGAAGTTAAATAGGAGGTAAATCTGGGTAGTGTCTCTTTGTAAAGACCATTTTTAAGGCAATTAAAGCGAGAAGGAATTCCTCAGTGTCTCTAATGCGCATGTGTCCAGCACGTCTGAAGAGTTTGTGAGCCACTAAAGAAATTCTACTGGCTAAAACTAAATGTCATTTAGGTTTTCTCCTCAGGCTTGGTGAGTTTTAATAACAACTTAATAGTGCTGACCAACTATTAAAAATTATGCTACTTTCATGTCACTTACTGTTGTTAGGCGAGCTTCTCTGACCCAAAATGCATCCTTAGCAGTTAAAAATAGTAAGGTACCCTTACCAAAAAGTAGTATACTTCAAGTTTATTTTAGTAAGTATACTTAAGTAAAGTTCAAGTATATTTTTAAGTATACTTTATGTAGTAAGTATACAAATATCAGTGTACTAGTAGTATACTTGTAAGTGTACTATTTCAATACTCCTTGGGACTAAATTGGCCCACTTTCTAGTATATAAAAGTATACTTTTAAGTATACTTTAAGTATAACAGTAGTAAACTTTGAGTACACAACTAGTTTACATCTATGCTTTTAGTTTTTAGCTTGTAGTGTAACTATACTAAAAGTGAACTGTGGAAGCATCTGTTGTTTCGTTTTCTTCTTCACTTGTGTTTTTTGGAAATTCTGTACGGAAGATGTGTACTAGCGCCCCCTACCGTATAACAATGAAAACACGGATTCTAGGAGCACAATTATAGCTAAAATATATTTAGACTTTTTCTAAGTATAAGTCAAGTATACTTAAATGTCATTTTAAGTATATTTCTGAGAAGTACATAAAGCCCATTTCTGAGAAGTACATAAAAAGTAGACTAAAAGTATACTTTCCTATTTTTTTGTTTAAAAGA